CATCTATTCTGCTGTTCTGTAGCTTTTGGTGTTGTTTGACGGCTGACTGAATATGAGCCAGCAGTGTGCCCAGGTGGCCAAGAAGGCCACTGGCATCCTGGCGCGCATCAGGAACTGTGTGGCCAGCAGGAGCAGGGCAGGGATTGTCCCCCTGTACTGGGCACTGGTGAGGGCGTACCTTGAATCCTGTGTTCAGTTTTGGGTCCCTCACTGCAAGAAGGACATTGAGGTGCTGGAGCGTGTCCAGAGAAAGGCGACAAAGGTGGGGAAGGGTCTAGAGAAAAAGTGTTACCAGGAGCAGCTGAGGGAGCTGGGAGTGTTTAGCCTAAAGAAGAGGAGGCTGAGGGGAGACCTGATTGCTCTCTACAGCTCCCTGAAAGAAGGTTATAGGGAGGTGGGTGCTGGTCTGTTCTCCTGCGTAACTGGTGACAGGACAAGAGGAAATGGCCTCAAATTGCACCAGTGGAGGTTTAGCTTAGATATTGGGAAAATCTTCTTCACTGAAAGAGTGGTCAGGCACTGGAACAGGCTGCCCAGGGAAGGGGTGGAGGGACCATACCCGGAGGGTTTCAAGGAATGTGTAGAAATGGTGCTTGAGAACATGTTCTAGTGGGTATGGTAGTGTTGGGTTGATGGTTGGACTGGATGATCTTATAGGTCTTTTCCAACCTTAGTGATGCTGTGATTTTGACCAGGATGGTCAAGTCAGTGGATATAATTGCTGCTGGTTATTCATATATATATGATAAGTCTAAAGAGGCCATTAATTGTGTAGATGTAACCAGGCAACTGAATTCATAGGAGAGCTATCCAAAACCACAGCACAGGACAAAACTGTAAGAGGAGCACAGCACTGGCCAAAGATGTTTTACATGGAGCCCGATAAAGCAAGGGCATTGATTGTGTTGGATTTCTGTTTGATTGCACTTCAGAGGCAGCAGTAGGCTGGAAGAACGGGGTGAGACAACAGCAGGGGGATTGCAAACACAGCCACAGAAGCACTGGTAATTGCCAAGGAAAGCTATTAGGGAGAGGGAGGGAGCCTTTTGGGTAGAAGGAAAGTGAGGAGAGATTTGGAGCTGTGAGGAGAGAAATTGCATAATCTTTATCACTCCCCTCTGTGTTTTGGGAAATGAAGCTTTGCACATTCTCTGGAAATAAACACTAGTGCATTAGAGACAGCACTCCTGGCTCCGTCATTCAGTGCTGCTTCTAAGGGCAAATAGCTCACAAGGCAGTGTTGCTAACCACGAAGATCAGAATGGGGAACACTGCTGCCTTTTTGAAGAAGTAATGAAGCATTAATGAATATTTTTATTTCCTAATACCTGAGACATGTTAAAACTTGTTCCTTCCCAAATTTCTAAAAGAAAACAATGTTATTCTAAAAGGCCATCACCAGTGTCTGGCATAACTTCCTCAGGGCATCACATGTGCCCTGTCTCCCTTGTCCCTGAACTCTCTCTAAAATGAGCCTTGCAATTCTGGGATTCTCTTCATTGTGGGTCTTTCAAAATGCTGTCAGGATGGCCAAGATCTAATGAGTATTGCCCACCACAGCAGGATTGGTAAGTTGTGTAGCTTTATAGTTCCCAGAGCATTTCCATGAACTTAGCCAGGACAAAACCAGAAAGGAAAAGAAAATGTCCCTGGCTTAGGGATGAGAAAAGGTCTTGTGTGGTGTAGGTGAACATATCTAACCCCTTTGACAGATTCTGCAATGATGATCTGCAGTCTGATAGATCCTGCTGTCCAGTTTGGGCAGCTTGACTTGCGCAAATCCAGACAGCAATACTGCCTCAGTGGCAAATCAAGAAGTTGTAGCACTCCTTGAAGTCTCTTGAAACCTTGCAGACGTGCACAACGGCACATTAAAATCTGGTCTGACTTCCCCCTTAACGAAAGGCAGCTGTAGTGAAACCCGTGATGTTAATGGCCTGAAGGCTGGAGCTCTGAAACCCTAACCAATGCAGGTTGGAGCACTCCCCGCTCTGCGTTACCCCCACAGAGGTAACAGCTCTCTGAGGGTTACTGTTTAGCCAGAAATAGTGGTACAGTGTGTACGTTCTGGCTTGACATTGCTGAGGCAGTTAATTTTTACCCAGCTTTATTTCTTACATTTTTTGCCCCCATGCACGTGTGTTTGGCTTCCAGCTACTGGGTGAATAGCTGCTTCTCTGATGAGGGGCACAAAGATGTACAGTGACTGAGCCCCTGTAGAATGGCAGGATGCTGGGTACAGGGGAGTCTTCTGGTCCCAGTAAACCAGGATGTGTGTTCGCCCCGCACAGTGCCCCTGTTACGTGACTTGATCAAAATGTCAGAACTTTTTAGCATCTTATTTTAATTGAATTATTATTAATGAGTCCCAGGAGCATTAAAGTAAAACTGCCTCGTTGCCTTTTTATTTCTCTGAAGCAATTTATCAAATGTAATCCTGAGAGAGATGGAGAAGGCATGATGCTAAAGGCAGCATCTGTTGCATTCCGTCTTCAGAATGCTTAGGGTGCATCTTTTCCTCAGAAAAATCAAGTTAATTGGTTTTCTTGCCACTTGGATGTTTCTTATTTACTACTGGTCCACATAGACCAGCCTGTACTCTCAATATTCAGAGCTCTACCTTGCTGTCCTCGACGGCACAGATAAGCTTTTGCCCTCGTTACCTCTCCTATAAGCTGCGTACCCTTGAGAGAAACCTGGCTGGTGCTCTTCCTTCTTTGGCCATCAGCAAACCTTTTGCTGAGTTCCGTTTGTGGAGCTTGTCTGCTCCTTCTGCCTGCCTTGCAGAATTTTTAGGAAAGATTTACCCTCTGCCGGTTTTGGTCATCTTATTTCAGAGGTAAGCTGGCCAGTTCATCTCTGTGGGTAACTGTTATTGTCAGGGGAAAGAGCACAACTCTGCTGGGGACCATTCAGAATGAGGGCTTATTTGTGACCCCCGAGTCTAGTCTGACCTGTGTTTGTTTCCTTTTGCATCTTCTTAAAAACCTAGTGAAGTCACTGAACCGCCTGTCAGAGTTGGTTATTTCATACTCGGTCTGCAAAGGTCTGTGCCCACTTCCCAGTGTGGTTCTGTCAGTGAGGGATGGATCACCATTTCTGCTCCTGAAGAAAGCTGGTAGTGCCATGAGTGTGTTAATTGGTAGGCTAAATTAAACCATCTGGTTTTGCCTGGAGTAAAGTAAGGAGCAGCTGTTCACCTGAACAGCTCTGTGCCTGTGACAGAGGAGAGAACAGCTAGGACTAGGGCAATGGTATAGTCTGAAGGGAGAGTGAATGTGCCATAGCCATTTGACTTTCAGAAGAGGATCCATGGAAGCCAGGGTACCCGATGGGAGGGCCTGCTTAACATCAAATAATACTAAGGAAGGAAACACAAATTCTGAGAGGGGTGTCTCCCTGTGCTCAGTTCTCAGTCACCGACCGGGCTATCTAAGCCAAGCCAGTCCTTCTTCTGGTAAAACAGACCACAACGGTAGTGTGAGAGCCCTTCTCCCACGGAGCATGGTGAGAGCAGTCTTCAGTTTTTGGAAGACCAGGCTGAACGCTCTCTTCTGCCAGATCCGGAGCAGGGGTTGGAAACCAGCCCACTGCCCTCCTGAGACAACGGTTGGAGTCAGGAGCTCTTCGGATGCATTGGGTATCTGCCCTCTCCCATTTGTATGAAATAACCCCAAATTCGTCGCGCCACAGGCCCGGTGGTGGGCGGGCAGTTGGGTTTCAGCTCCGCTGCGAGCACTGGATGTCTTTCAGAGGTTAAATAGCCGGTAGACTCCCTTCGGCACTGAAGAGGTGTGAACATCTGGGGTAACACTGCGAGACACTGAAGTAATCAGTGTCTTGGTTATGTGTGGAAAATGCTACGTTAAAACAATAACATTATTTTTAAAGCATCTCATAACTTAAGTATCTGCAATGATGTGACTACTTTGTGCTTTTAATTCCTGGTTAATAACTCTTCTCTAAACATAGATGGCAGCAGTACAGTCACCCTGTTTTATGAAGGTTAACATCTGTGAATACTGCCTTTGAGATAGGCCCTGTGTATGCGATTAGTTCGTTGGTTACTGGGCACAGTTTTAAAGAATTATGCTGAATGAATGAACCATTACCTTCCTAAGGTTTTGTGCATTTCTGATCTTTTTGTGTGGTTGCAACTTGATCAGTGTTGAGGTCAGCGCTTTTATTTTTCTTCTTTTCAAATAAAAGACTTTTTCTTTAGGAATCCCACAGTTAACTGAGAGAAGACACCAGACCTCTTAGAAGAGTCATGTGAGAGAACTCCTTGATGGAGAGAGTAGCCCAGTTATGTTTGATTATTCATCATTTATATGGACTTACAGTGGGCATTGTTTTCAGCCTCCTCTAAAAATGAGAGTTTTTCTAGCTAACGTTTCACATTGGAACCCCAAACCGTGACCGAATCTGAACTTGCTGAGGCTGAGCTATAGCAGAGAGATGTAAGCAGCAAAAAACGCATCTCTGTTGTTCCAGCTGATACTAATCACTGCTACAACTCCTGCTTTTGTGAGCTAGTAACAAGGCAAGGAAAAATGGGTGCCTCCTCCTGCCAAGAGGACTCTGGCTTTCATTGGCTGAACTGCCAGCAGTAAGCTCCCTGGGAAAGAATGTGGCACAAGGTTTAAGGTAAAATCATCAGCCTCCCCTGCATTTATCAGAATTACTTTAACTAGGAAGCTCTTCTGTAATAAAGCAGTTTTCTCCCTGAAGCCAAGATGTTTCACAAGGGGGAAATGTGCAACACCAGTGCCTGTTGAGTGAAGTCACTATTAAAGACCTTGAGCCTTGGAGTGTTGAAACGAGAACTAAACTTGTTATTAGCAGTCCCTTGAGTTCTCATTTCCATGCCAGTGAATAGCCTGGTTTTGTGCTCACTAACCAATTCCCCTGCATTTTCAATTTTCACCTGTTTTATGTTATCTTTAAGTTATTAATTTAATGACAAAGCTTCTTCTTCTACTTTTTTTTTTCCTGTCTAGGGGGTTGTTTATCACCATCCATGACAAAGGCCATATTGCAACAATGCTAGACTCTTGGCCTGAAGAGAATATTAAGGTACGTGGCATGTCTTCAATGGACTGGAAAATTGCAGGGAGATGGTTGGAAAATGGGATATTGAATGGAACTGCTTGGCATTATTTACAGAATTGCCTATTTAAAAGGACAAGCTAAGAAATATTCCCTTCCTCAGAGAGTTTCCATGCTAGTGGTTGGACTTCAGAGACTCTGTCATGTGTATATGTGGTTAAGAACATCTTTATCAAAGGTAGCAGAGCCTTGGGCAATAAAAAGAGTGTGCATGATAATAAATTTGTACAGAATAGGGATCCTAGCGAAGAAGTAAGATGCATGTGTTGAAGAATTCTGTGGCTAACTCACAACTTCTTAGTACCAAAGGTCTTTAAGATCTCTCTGTAACCGACTTGCTTGTAGGACTCCTTCCCAAATCCAATGAGTCATGCAGCATCCAGAACACTGGCAACTGCAAATAATGTTTGATATCCAGCAGCTGAAAATATTACTGACACCCCACCCAAAAAGTGATCTTGTGAAGTGTTTTTCGCTAAAGCTTAGGGCTCGGCAAGTCCCTGGCATGAAATAAAGTCAACAGTTAAGATAGGCCTTGCCAGTCACCTGCTTCCATCAGTCTGAAAGTGCATGTGCCTGGGAGTCTCCCTGGCTATTGACAGAGCTTTGATCCCCCAACAATCAGCTGTTTCTTCCAGGAACAAAGGTTTGGCAGCTGAGAAGTTCTTGCAAGTATTTTCCATTTCTAAAGGGAAAAACCCAGGAATTTAACGTTTCCAGAGCATGTAATCATGTTCCTATAACCTGGTCTTTGAAACCATGGAGAACAGATGCAAACTAGATATTTTGTCCTTGCTCTGTCCGAAGACCTCAATATTTCCATTTGTTTCTGACTCAGGACTATGACCAGAACTCATGGCTAATAGATATGTTTTTGCAGATGGGGAAGCTGGCACAGAAAGATCAGACTGTTGTTGAAACAGCCCCCTCTGGCACACGAAACACACCATAGGAAGGGCAGTTGCCCCTGGAAGAGATTCAGACTATCTGCTTTCCAGGTTTGCCAGGCTACCAAGGCAGCTAATTTCATCAGTATCACTGTTTTGGACCACAGGTTTCCCGTGTGTTTGTACACAGAATTCTCCATGCCTGAACTGGTAGGCACTGGAACACTTGAGATTTTGAGATAGGTGGGGAGGCACCTGGACTGCACCTAAGTCCCTGGAGGGACACAGTTTTTTGAAAAGGCTTAACACCAATACCAGTAAGTCCCATTAAAGACAGAAAAGAGGTACCTGGAGATGCTACCCCACTTTTTGCTTTGTGGCTTCTTAGAGCTTTGTGGTAACAGCATTTACTGTGGAAACAGTAAATCTGGGTTGTAGGCCTGGATCCTCTGCCTGGAAGGGCTGGAAGGGTGCTCTGCTTAGCTGAGGAGAGCCGCAGCCAAGCTCTGACGTACTCCTCCTCCACCCCTCCTGTTGAAGCTGGGGCTGCTTTGAAGGAATCAGAGCGCCAGAAGCAGAACAAGTGCAAGATGCCGTTTCTGAGCATGCTCATGTGGGAGTATGGGGTTTTTTGTGTCTCTTCCAGGGTGGTTAATGAATCCTGCCATGAAGAAATACTGGATAAAATGCCAGTAGCCCTCCTCAGTGCCTCCCCTTGCTAATTTTCTCTCTGGCTCCTTTATCTTGTACTCCTTTCTGCATGATGGCCCGACTAGAGCCATCACCATCTTACACGGTAGCGTTGTGGTAGGGTGTCATCCTGGCAGCTATGAGTCCAGAGGCACCTCGGCTGATGTCAGCTGCCTGAAGACTCAGTGCGAGTATTTCTGCAGTGATCAGTGAAGAGGGCGATGAGCCACAAACAAATGTGAATCCTCTCTGATACAGGCAGCAATTGGTGTCTCCTGTCCTGTCTTTTCTGTTCTGTATTTTTCAGTGCTACCTTGAGGAGCTGTGGTACCTGTAGAGTGCAGCACATCTAAGACTGAAGACATTGCCTGTCTCTGATGGGTGTATTTAAGTGCTCTTAAGAAGATCTTAGGGCTGCCTGAAAACACATTTGTTTTGATGGAAGGAAATCTATGCTCCAGATAAATATTTTCATTCATTAGCACTTGGCTTTTTTAAAAAAAAATCTCTTCATAGTTAGGATTTTGACTCCTTTTCATATAATTTGCATCAGTTTCAGGATAAACCTGTAACAGTGTGCGTGCTTGCTGCTTTCCCTCTTCCCATTAATGCCATCCAGTCCCAACTGCATCCTCTGGGTATGGTAAAGAAGTGAGCGCACACCCAGAAACAGATGCAGCCCACCCAAAGAGAGACTTTCCTGTCACTAACACTTCACATTGACTCAGAAGGAAAAACAAATAGGAAAATGTTAAAAAATGGAGGTGAATAAATGTGCCACTGCCGTGATTATGAATTTCCCATGGCAGGGCTTGTTCCACTTCTAGCCCAAGGATAGGTGTATAGTCTTTTTAGTTTTAATAGGATTTTCATTGAAGGTTCGTTTTCAGGTATTCTAACTCCTGGTGACAAACTGGCAAGAGCACAAAACCAAATATTATAGCTACAGCAAAACAACCCCTATGACATACAGGTTGTCAGTATTGCTGTGTGCATTGCAACCCTGAAATGTGGCATGCCTGATGCTACCTGAGGGTTTGTGGGGTTTTTGCTGGAGGGTGAAATAGATGTAAAAGGCAGAACAGATGTATGTTTCCTCTGTATCTGTAGTTTCTCCTCATTATTCCTGAATAATGAGGCTTATTCCTGAGCTATGTAATGCAGTTCTGTTCTGCTGTTAAACAGTGGTTTAGGTTGATGGAGAAAATAGCCTTGGTGTCTCTGTATAGTTTATGTTGAATAAGAAAGGGCACTGGAACAGATGAGTACAATTCTTCCTGAAACAGGAAAGTGCAAGAGGTTTATTCCATTCCTAAACAAGAAAATGCTTCTCCATTACAGCAATAAACCAATTTATTATCCTCCTTGCCCCCAAGGAAGTACATCAATTGAGATAGCTTCTTATCCCCCATTCTCTTATTTCTCACTAAAGCACATGGATATCTATGTCCTAAGTTTAGCCTTAACTTTGCAGATCAGCAAATAAAGGACTTCCCTGCAGTCTTCTTTGAAAACCAAGCTAGACCTTGCCCTTGAGTCCCCTGCAGTCTGGTAAACCATTTGATGTGAGCACTGTGTTCTCTGAAGTGCTGGGACAGTGTTGAAAGTTGAAGGTTTTTATTGTATTTACAGGTTTTCTCCCACAGTGGGACTGGACTCCAGTATCTTCCTGTTCTTACTGGATTCAGAACTGCCCCAAATTGTGTCTGATCCTGGGGTCAAAACCAACAGATAGAGTAGTTAACCTAAAAAACTGTGAGGCTTAGTCAGATCTGCATGGCCATTTGCCTCCTAAGGTCTCGATGTACAGTGTGGGTTGAACAAGTCATCTTCAGTCTTCTAGTCTGGATACATTAAGCAGGCTTTTATTTCCCTTCTTGTCACAGAAGTGTGATACAATAACAAGAAAAACATAAAATTATGGATCAGAGATTTTGGTGAGGTAGCACATTACAGTATTGCTGAAATGCAAAAAGCCAATCGCACGAACAGTTGAATGGCAATTGTTTAACACTCAACTTGGGGGAAAAAAGGGTTCTAATATTAAATACAGAGAGCGGGAGCGCCTCCACAGTCCATGCTGCTGCCCATGCTGATGGCTTCTGTCTACCTGCCTTGCAGTCAGGGGTACCAGAGGGAAAGGGACACACTTACAATTAGGTTTGGTTTTATTATGGGATGGTGGCTACCCCACAGCTGCTCTACAACAGTGTGAGGACATGAGAGTGTTACTACTTGGAATCAGAATCATTTAGGTTGGAAAAGACCCTTAAGATCATCGAGTCCAACCGTACTTCCACAGATGCTTATGCACAAGCGTTTTGATGCAGGGCTCTTTTTCCTGAAAAGGAAAGGAAAAATCAAGGCAGGTTTTGGTTATACAGCTGAGGATGCACAAATAGTCGTTCTGGCTGGGTTCTGCTACAAGTGAATTGAAGCGTTGGCAAGCAGAGCTGCTCCTCTCCCACACTGCAAGCAGCTACCCATCAGTCACATTATCTGTACCCCCAAAAATAAACAGCCCCCTGTCACTAACAGCTCATTAACATGGTGTCCTGTAGAAGGAGCAAATATCCATTGTGCAATGCGACTGCAAAATGGCATCGGTGTGAAGACAGTGAAGCTGGCTGTGCTTCCAGAGCCTTGGCAGCACCATACAAGTCTCTTTTGATCTTCCTAGGCTATTGTGGTGACAGATGGCGAGAGGATTCTCGGTTTAGGAGACCTGGGAAGTTACGGCATGGGTATCCCAGTGGGGAAGCTTGCTTTGTACACAGCTTGCGGTGGAGTTCACCCACAACAGTGTCTCCCTGTCCTGCTGGATGTTGGCACAGACAACGAGGTAAGACAGTTTTTATAAATCTGACGGGGGGCGTGAAAGAATTGAGATTGAGGCTTAAATGAAGGCAGTTCCCTAAATGAGAGGGCAAAGCCATCCAAGTTGAGACTATGGCTAGACCAGCACTGCAGGGAAGTGGCCAGGTTTCGTTCCTGTTTGATGCTCAAGAAACTTTTGCTCTTATGGGGAACTGAAATAAACTCTAAATAGCTTCATGGTCCCCTGGTGAGAAGACTCGGTGTTGCCAGTTGGATCTGAAGGGTCAGCTCCACCTTTCAGCATGGCAAGGTGAGTCAAAAGATTTTGTACTGGAAGTCCCAGATTTATTTTTCCTCTGGTAATTTTAAGAAAACAGACAGATACTTGTGTCTGCGTAGAGGTGACTCTATTCCAGAAAACGGAGAATCCCCGGTGGGTGGCTTGAGAATGATGAATTGCAGTGTTTTGTCAGATTGCACACTGTACAGCACATGATAACCAGACACGAGGACTCCATCTGTTTTCAGATTTTTGCCTTATGACTCTGGCTCAGAAATGCCGAAGTGCAATATTTTAGCAATGCCAGAATGGACATCTGTGAGGATGTCTTTTCTAACAACATGAATATCCTATAGTTATTTGTGATGGCCCAGATTTGTCCACTTTTGTAAAACGTACTTGTGTCTCACTTGACCCCAAGTAAACCAAACACACGTTTCCTGAGGACATAACAAACTGGGGGTGTAAGAGCTTTAAGTTTGAGGGCAGATGTGTGCTGACATTTTCAGACATGCCTATGCTCACTGCAAAGCTAGATTTCTGCACCTCTTTCACTCCAGCCTCAAGTGTATGAAAAGAATGAAAAAAGGCAAAATCAGTGGCCATAGATTCATCTTATCTGGGATGAGATTCCCAATTACCTCTTTGGTCTCTGATACCAGGATTACTTTATCCCTTTAGCACAGAGACCTGTCACAGACTGGTGCAATATAGAGTGTGCTCATCTTAGCCTGATCCACAGTCTTTCCTGAAAAGTGGGAACTCGTTTGGATGCTCTGAGGCTAAAGCAGGAATTACGTCTCAGTCTCTCACTTCTTGGAGTTTCCAGTCAATAGACCATTGTACTTGACTTTGGCTCCTTCATCTCTTCCTTCTCCTTCCCGCTGGCCTGCACACTGCTGAGCGCTGGCATGTTCTCAGCCCCGCAGCTGGAGCTTCCCTCTAGAGGGATCTGAGCGTGAGTGCTTCCCCACCAAGTTTCTGACCATGCACAACCATCCATTTCTATCTCAGCATCCAGGGGGGACACTAAAATCCAAAGTGGCACCAATAATTGTTGGGCATTTCCAAGTGTCAGATAGTGTCTGAAGAACGAGGCTCCCAGAGTCAGTCTGGGGCACTTTCTTCTGCCCAAGATCAAGTGTAACTTATGTGTGCAGGAACTTCTCTGTGGGGGCAATTTCCACATCTGTGATTAAGATACAGAAGTTGCTGTATTCCAACAATGTACAATGTATTTCCTCACAATATAAATAATCTGTTATTTAATGGCTTTCTCTTTTATATAAACCCAGCTTGACCAAACACATCCTAGGAGCATCCTGCCCCACAAGTAAATTCGTTTATCAGTGCAGAAATAAGATGTCTCTTGTAGGCATTCATCCTGTTCATCTCTGCCTGTTAATATATGTTGAGCCTAGGTTGACTGTGTTGCTAACAGGGGAACCTCAGGTAGAAAGGAGTAAATATATCGCTTGTATTATATTTTTACCTCAATCCTCAGCTTGTCTTTCTGACAGTCCGTAGTACTTTGTACACTCTCTCAACAAATCGGTCTTTTTTCAGAGCTTGGCATTTCTCAGCTTGCATACGGGAGAATTTTATACTCTGTGAACAGCCCCAGATCATGTGGCACTATAGGGGCAATCAGTGAAGTAATGCAAATGGGTCTGCTTTCTGTTTCATGGCCCTGAAGAGTTAATGTGTCAAACTCACGGGAAAACCTCTTCCATCTTTCCTTCTAAGGGAAAACAGCTGTGGCTGTAAAAACAGATCTAATTTTAGCATACCTGCAATATTTAAGGCCCATGAGGCTGCAGGACAATGCGTTTGAGACAGCTCATCCCCTTCTCATGTACACAATTCAGTTCCTGAAATTGGAAGGGCAGTAGAGCTGCTTTGCAGTCACTCACAAAGATGTTGGCCCACCTGTCTCCTGCCACTGTTTGTCCTGTAATTTTCCCCAAAATATGTGCTATTTCCATGCTGACCCAGTCCCTTTTAGGTGGCTTAGGGGGTCCTGATTTAACACCTGCTGGACTGATTGGAAGAGTGGCCTGGTTTTATGTTCCCAGCAACACCCAAAAAATAAACAAAGCTTTTGTATGAAAATACCATGCCGTGAGACCTGCAGATAACTGGAGGTGAGTGCTAGGTAGGTGCAGGACTTGGGAACATTTTGGGATCTGGCCAACTCTGGGCTGTCACCTAAAGGCTTGAATGGCACATGTCATTTCAGGTTACTTCAGGTGATCTTCATTGCTCAAAGCCCTGTTTATAGAACCATAGAATGATAGAATGGTTTGGGTTGGAAGGGACCTAAAAGATCATCCAGTCCCAAGCCCCCTGCCATGGGCAGGGACACTTTCCACTAGACCAGGTTGCTCAAAGCCTCATCCAGCCTGGCCTTGAACACTTCCAGGGATGGGGCATCCCCAGCTTCTCTGGGAAACCTGTGCCAGTGCCTCACCACCCTCTCCAGGAAGAACTTCTTCCTGATACCCAATCTAAACCTCCACACTTTCGTTTTAACCCCATTCCCCCTTGCCCTGTCACAACAGGCCCTTGTAAAAAGTCCCCTCCCAGTTTCCTTGTAGCCCCTTCAGGTACTGGAAGGCTGCAATGAGGTCTCCCCGGAGCCTTCTCTTCTCCAGGCTGAACAAGCCCAACTCTCTCAGCCTGTCCCCATAGCAGAGGTGCTCCAGCCCTCTGAGCATCTTCGTGGCCTCCTCTGGACTCGCTCCAACCGGTCAATATCCTTCTGATGTTGAGGGCTCCACAGCTGGATACAGCACTACAGGTGGGGTCTCATGAAAGCAGAGTAGAAGGGGAGAATCACCTCCTCTGACCTGCTGGCCACACTTCTTATGGTCAACACCTTTCCTGGTAACCTTCAGTGCAAAAATTAATAACTGATTGAACAGTAAGTGCTCCCTATGCAAGGTCAGTTTTTATCACTACGAGTGAGGCACCTTGTCAGGGAGCTGTTGGTAGAGCTGTTCTGGGGATGCAGAGCTCCATTTCCTGCGGCTGTCAGGAAGCATTACATCCCTCCAACTTTATTTACACAAAAAGATGGTCCATAGCTTCTTGTGGAAACACTTTCTGCTCGGGAAGAGCTGTGTGAGCCAGCCTTCACTGCATAGTAAGTAAAATTAATATGCCCACAACAGACAAACGTATTGGGTAGGCTGGGACATAAATCTCCGTCCATCTGTGGAAGAGAGGATGTCAACAGAATTGCTTTGTGTCCTAGGCTCTCCTGAGTGATCCGCTCTATATTGGACTGAAACACAAGCGGGTTCGTGGGAAACAGTACGACGAACTGATTGATGAGTTTATGCAGGCAGTTACCGACAAGTAAGTGGGATTATATACACGGCTCCTCCGGGCTGCTTCCATTTCAGAACAAACGTTGCAACTCGTCAAAGAAACATTAGTATAATTGATCGTCCAAGCAAAGACAGGTCATTTAAATGCAAGTCTCCTGGGTGGTCTAGCACTCTGTGTCAAAAATATTTGTCTTCAGAGAACTGAAACGGGAGTGACTGTTTATAACCATTTCCTGTCCATATAGGCCAGAGGTGTCAAATGTATGCCCTGTGGGCTGTGTCTGGGCTCCATCGTGTGTTTTATGAGCCTCATTTGGCATAAGCGGAATCTAAACTTTGGTTTGTTTACTTTTTGAAAAGGAAGTGTCTACCTTTCACCATTGTGAAGGCAATCATCTAGCTGGAAACAACATGTTGCTCCACACAGTGACGTCTGAGTCTGCAGACTGCCTGCCTGTCGCTTTGTTAAAAATAGGAGCTTCCCTGCCGGCGTTTAAGTCTGCAGAGTGAAAAGGCCAGGATTATAAGCAATGTCTTTTTAATGGAGGGACTAGCTGGGATAGAAGATCCCTGAGGTACCCGGGAGTTTGATAGGGGAAGAGCAGAACCACAAGCTCAGCACTGTATGTGCACCCCCTGCACAGCATTCGGTGCCTCTTTTGGAAAAAAGGAAATACATTAAAATCTCCACGACTACCTGGAGAGGTTACCATAAATGAGAACAACTGTTAAGGAAAAACAAGATATTTGGAAAGCCCCAAGCTTCTAAGCAGCTTTTTCTGCCTTTCCTGGGGCAGCAGATGATATCGATAAGGAGTGGCAGAGCTGCAGTCTGTGTCTGATTAATGGGCTGCTGCCTGTCTGTCTGCTGTAGGGTCTTTTCCTCACAGCTGAAGGAGCCAGGTTTGATCTTCCTTCTTCCTGTGTCTCCAGACAGCTCTGTGTGTGTGTGTTCCTGCCCAAATGGAAGGGAGTGGTTGGTAAGTGTGTCATCAACTCCCAGTTCATCTTGTCTCCCTTGCGGTAGGAGACATCATGTCCAGTGTCTAATAACAAGACCTATCCCTCCACTGAGAAGCAAATCTTTATGTAAGGTCTGGCTGCCCAGCTGGCTGTGGGTGGAGGGAGGTAAGGGGGAGCTGAAATGCTGAGGACCATTCTGTCACAGCTGACAAACCAAGTTTTGAGAGAGATGAGTGTGTCACAAAGAATTTCAGCATCGTTGATGTGGTGGCTCAGTGTAGCATGGTGCTGCACCCTCTGCATAGGCAATGCTGCTGTTAGGACAGGACTCCTTCCTTTGCTGTTCAGCAGCACAGAATCATAGAATTGTTTAGGT